ATTAAAGCTATTACATCCTCGGGACAATTACATAATAATGGATCAAACATGAATAAAATAAACATACGCGCGAGAGAAAATTGAATCGGAGAGCCTTTTAGGGTTTTGACCCTTTTTTGAGAAAGAAGGAAGTTTTTATGATTTTTACATTTAATTAAATTAAACCTAGACTAATTAATTAATAAAAAGAAATTATATTTTTTGAGTTTTTTATGTTTTTTTTAGGAAAAAAGAAAAGATGGTCAAAATTGTCAAGAAACCCTAATTCTACATTAGTTCTAGATTTATTGTGAAAATATTAAAATTAACCTAATTAACTAAATAAATTAATTATGTTAGTATTTATTTACAAAATAACTAATTAAATTTAATAAATAAAAATATTATATTTTTCATGTTTTCTGAATTTATTAAAAAATATTAATTGTTTTAGTTAGTAGTTAACTAAAAATTAATAAAAACAAATTAAATAAAAAATAAAAGGAGAAGAAGAACTAAATCCAGGGGGTGCTGGCCCAAATTAGGAGGTGTGTTTGGAAATTTGTGGCCCATCAATACTCAAGCCTGCTTTGACTCTTGAGATCATCCACGCGTGTGTTGACTAAGGACCATGATAGTCTTTCCATCTAGGCCATTGGATTTCAGTCTGAAGACATCTGGCGCCTGGGAACTTGAGACATATGGTAGAACATCTCCTGGGCATAGCATAGGAATATCTGAAGAGAAAAATTAAATAAGCGTTTGGGGGACCTGGGATTCGAACCCAGGTCCCAATGCTCACATGCCAACGCCTTTGCCATCCAACCAAGCTGCTTCAGTTATCATTAAAATAAGGAGCAATTATTATATTAGGAAATTAATCAATATGCTGTAAAACAAAAACGACGCGCGCTTTTTTCAAACTGTCCAATGGGGTATCAACACATCATCATCTTCTTCGTTTTTTCTGCATATTCAGAATCAGATAGCGGGGGTTTTTAACCTCCACTATCTAGCTGCACGAAAAATAGCGATTAGAAATCTAGCAAGCATAAATATTTCGCGAGGGGTGAGTCATGTTTGTCTGGGTCTAACGATTTCAAACATGTGTCTTATGAGTCCTAATTTTGCCTGGTTCAGAAAGCCCTAATTTAAAGCTCAAGAACCCTAAAAAACCAGTCATGGCATTCTTCGATTCAGGGCGTTTCAGCTCAATTCAATTATACCATTAGCTTCGTATGGTCCCTAGCAATGCAAAGCAATCACTAAAACATGTTAAATGCTCATGAATTAAGAGACACGATTATGAAATATAATTGCAAACCGTGGCACTGTATTCCTTGATTCTTTAAGCTTTGATGCCTGAATTGGATTGCAAAACGTTCCTGGGACCTCCTGCAATGTATTAGAATGGTCAAAACACCTTGAATTAGCCTAGGATGCCAAAATCAGTTTTGAGTTTTCTTGGAATTTCTTGAATGTGCTATGGTTGTTTCTGCAGCTTTTTTCACGTCCATTAGGTCAGGGTTAGCTTGCTTATGTATAAGGGAAACAAATTAGGTCAAAAAGCTGGGCCAATATCCATTGCATTGATGATTGAATCCTTGATTGAAAAATCAAATATCCTTGATTTTCATGATTGAACAAACTTGCCAAAATTGGATTTTTTTTGTATCTTTGACTTTGTGCACGAATTTTCCAGCATGTTTAGGTCATATTTGCTTCACAAAAAGATTTACAAAACAAACCTTCTATTTTCCTATAATTTAAATTGATTAAATGAATTAATATTAATTAAAAATCCAATTAATCAATAAAAATAAGAAAATAAATCCAATTAATCTTGATGGGTCGTGCATAGGTCATGGGTGAAGTTTCAAGAAGAGATTTGAGGCCCATTAGCAAAAATAAGGTGTTTTGAGCAAAGTTGACTTTTGCAAATTCATAAAAATTTCCAACTTCCCCAATGAACAACTTTCTCAATTTTGATCATATGACCATGTTCTTGGACATTTTGGAAAGCTCTTGAAGTCCTCTAACCAATGCCTTTGGTCCCATGTCATTTGGATTTACCAATCTCAAGTTATGGCCTTTGACTCAAAGTGTACTTTTGTTGACTTTTAAAATTGACCTATAATGTAAAAATTGGTAACTTCTTGTGAGAGCATTTCTTGAACTTGGAGTGTGAATATGGATTGTAGGAAATTTCATCCCCTTAAAAATGAGCATTGGATGGGATTTTTCTGACAAACCATGAAAAAGTTATGCCCTGGTCAAGATACAGTTGACTTTTCTGCTGTCCCAAAATAGTAACTTTTTGCACCTTGATGATTTTTGAGCTATGCTTGTGGAATCATGATCAAGACTTGATCAAATGATGATTGTGGCCTCAAAATAATATGTTGACCAAAAATTCTGACTTTTGACTGCAAAATGACCATTTTGCCCTTGCAGTTGACTGTAGATCAAATGGAGCTTTTGACTGTGCAAATTGGCACTGTGAGTCTTGAAACTTGGCATGTAGGTGCTTGAGAATGTACATAGGCCCATGAGACTTGATTGAACCATTGAAAACCTCAAATTACTTGAAAGAACCAAAACCCTAATTTCAGTTGTCTTAGGAAGATGTTTGACTGTACAATCCTTGAACAATCTTGAACAATTTGAAGATCATTCTTGACAAATCTTGAGGAATATGGGAGGGCAAATTTTGGGGTACAAAAGACCCTAACCAATAATAGAGCATGGGAGTTGGGTGTTTTATTGATAACTCTATGTCATAAAAACGAGATTGGAAGCATACATTTCCTCGGTGGATTATGATCAGTTTTTTCTACTGCAACATGATTTCTATCAGCTTTTTTTATTTAATTATAGAAGATTCACTCTTAGTTGGAAAAACCTCCTGATATTACTCTAGTAGTTTTCATCAAATTTCATTTTATTTTCGTTGCTTTATATATAATTTTTCTTTATTTGTGCCTCATTATTCTCTCCCATATTGATGAGTATATATTTTCAAGATTGGAATGTTTATCCCTCAACTTTGATCAAAATTAAGATATTTTCTCATTCATGGAAAGTTTCTCCAGCTACGGTGCACGCTACTATAAGTTCTTTTTCTTTTTCATTGTTGAATTGTTCTCTTCCTTAGCTACCTAGAACACTTCACCTATTTTCTTCTACAAGTGTCCATCTTTGGATCACTTGTAGATTGCCTTCCTTTCTCTTGATTATCAAATCTTGACAATTTTATTTTTGTAGAAAATTCTCGATTGCATTCTTTAAATACAGAGTCCTCGTGTTGTGTTTGTTGCTCTTGTGGAAACGATAGCATCTAGATTTGTCAATTCTTAGATGTTCCCATATCTGTTTGGGAATCTCCATTTGCTCTTCTCGAAATTCAGTTGATGCACTCTTGTAGAATGAGTTCTCCAGAAGTATTAAGGAGTGTACAATCTTGATACTTAGAAGGGATAATGTTTCCTCTATTTTCTAGGTCGGACTGGTTATCCTTGTTTCTATCCTCTTTGTTCATTTGTTTTGTGTCACCCATTGGTTCTTTAGTTATTATCTTTTTTATCTTGACCATTTTGGATCCTCTTCCATAAATTGTCCTACTTGCTACCAATATTTCTTCATCCTCTGTATTTTTTCTTTGCTAATAGGTTGTTAAAAGTGTTTGGAGCCTTGATCCTGATGCTTTCTACGAACTTTGGTTCTGGTTGAAGTCCAAGAGTTAGCAGTTATTTTTTCATCTTGTTATCGACACTTTTAACCAAAGTAGTCTCTCGACCAAACCTCTAAATGTATAATTTCAAGGATTTATCCTTTATCTACCTTATTGAGTCAAAGCTATACACAAATTTCGATTTCCTTTGTCACGCCATAAAATGAACGGTGAACTGCATGTTCCGTTTTCCCCATGTGCACATGGATTCATTTCTTAGACCTTGAAAGCATACCATGGTGTTGGGCTTCAAGGTGAGAGTGAAAAACTTACACTTCTTTGAACTTATTGCCCCTTTAAAGTTCAAGAGGATGTCTACGAGTCCCACATGCTCGTTTGGATTTGTTGTTTTGTCATATGTATCTCGATGTGACATCTTACTTCTCTTTTATATAAAGATTCTAGGCTTTTTAAGACTTAACACATTTGATATGACAACGGTTCAAAAGGAGGATATGTGTTAGAATATTATTTATTATGTAATATATCAGCCTTGCTCAAAGCATTTATTTTTATCAAGTCTCCTTTCAAAACATGTTCAATTTAGTCCCGCAGTTCAAAAACATTTGTATAAATTATACTTACAAAGATAATGTAATAATGATGTTATAATCCAATAATTCTCTTATTCGATGATGCTTAGTCTTTTTCAAAAGTTAGAAGCTTTTAGAAACTCTATTTGAATTGAATCATGGCTAATTTAAATCTTGAAACCGAATCAAATAACAATGATAAGTTATATTTAAAACATAAAATAATAATAAAAATACATGTGAACAATTTCAAAAGAACACATTCAAACATAATTTTATTAAAAATAAATAAATAAATTTACTATTTCATTCCAACACATTCAAATACATGTTTACATTTGAATACTTTCTAGTCATCTAATGTGAATACAAAATTTCCTATTAACATGAAATCCATTCCCCTTGTCTTTGTGTCTACTCAAATATTTTGTCCCCGCGGAACTGTTTTGGCGTATAGTTATTCTAGTACGCCACCCGTTAGATTACCGACAAAAGTGGTCCCAAACACAACGTTTATCCAACGGTCACATATTATTCCTTATGTACGACACAACACCATATAATAATAGATCATTCAATAAACATAAAATACTTTATGAGTTCATTCATCTTCATAGAACCAGCCACGTAGTTTCTTAGTTGGTCTCTTCGAAATATAACACACAACACGTACCTTCAAAACGCGCTACACGCCATTTACACTACATAATCAACAACAACAATAATAGATATCATAAAGAGGGTTCGCAAATTCTGTAATGGGAGAAGCACCTTCTTCTTTCTCTTGGCGCAAGATGAAGATCGTGGAATATTATGATGATGAGAATATTAACGAGTGTGATGTTGACGCGGCACAGAAGCTTATGGAACTCAGCGATGAAGAGAAGAGCAACAGAAGCAACACCATTAGAGGCAGCAACAACAGCAACAAGAGGTTTAGAAGATCGAGTGAAGTTGAAGAAAATAATATTGATGAAAAGCATGATATTGTAATGGCCAAGATACAAGAGATATTTGGAAAAGATGTTGAAGTTTTTCCTATGGTTAAGAAGCAAAGGAGATATCGTTCTCTTGTGAATATTTACATGTCTACAACACCTGTTAAGGATACAAGGGTAAGTGCGTAACAATCAGAACTAAGAATGTAGCTAGTTTTTTTAATAATTGTAAAATGTGGTTGCTCGGTTTCCACAAAAAAAAAAGGGTTAGTCCTAGATATTTGTGTTTTTTCATGAAAATTTTGGAAGTTGATGGACATTGCATGTAATTGATTTGATTTTCTAGTCTTGGAACAATCAATCTTATATTGCTTGAAAGTTGAAACGCTTCCTTAAGGATGATGATATTGGTTGTATATCATTTTATTACTTGAAACAATCGGGTAAATTTGCCTTGATCCCATCAAGTTTTTGCATCATTGCGGGGATTCAAATTTCAGTATCAACAAGCCTGTCGTGTTATTACTATGTTTGAATATCACCTTCTTGTTTACTTCTAATTTGTATTATTATTTTCTTGATCTTTTGCAATCTCTCTATCTTTGTGAATGTGTATGTGAGGTAAAAACACCTATTTTTAAAAAGTAAAAAGACTTCAAAGCAAATTGGAGGAGTGATTGGGGTTATATTTTTTTATAAGTCGGTGTGCTCATGAAGAGGACACACAAAAATGGTATAAAAAATGATTGGAGTGCAAAAGGAGGGGATCAAACCAAATTCTAAGGAAAACTAACAAAATCTATAAAAAGAAAGCCCAAGTTGCTCCATCTGTTTTTAAGCTTAGTCGGAATGATATTAATTGAATTGAAAGCAATACTGACCAGCATTAAATCACACTCAATCCACAAATATTTCTAGTTGTTGATGAAGGCAATCTCCACTACCAAGATCACTCTCATGGCTTACGCATACATGGGGTATACACACAGGTTTGCTGCAAAAAAACCCTTACACTCACCAAAGTTGTTCCTGAAAAGACCTCTACATGCAGAAGGACCAGGGCTACCCAAGGTTGAGCCATCGGTATTGCATTTTGTTCATCCGATCATGGGCGGTTGCCAGATTACCTCTAGAATTTTGGGAGAGTTAGACCGGTGAATGATGACCTTAAATGCTTTAAGAATTTCAAGTCTTGAATGGAGGAGTCCATGACTTCTTTGGTAAGATTTCTCGAAAGTTGCACCTTTGCAGCAATGATGGAGATGGCGTTTTGGCAACTGTGATTAATGTTCTTGAATCTCGCATTGTTCGTAAAGAGCCAAATGCAGTTGTAGATCATGACAATCGTAGTTTTGGTGGTATTCTAGAGGTGGAATGTTAAAAATTATAGAGTTGCGGGATTCTGCAGAGAAAACTATTTTTCGTCACTTTTTGTACTATACTTCTACTAGTGGATGACCATTGAAAAACTCTGCTTTTTTTTTTTTAATTCACCAAACACTTCTTACTCTTAATCTTAGCATTACAAAGCCTTTATATAGGCTTGAATGAAATTGATAGAGAATACAAATAGGTTGCTAATCAAGATGAGGACTCTTTGGTTCTCTCAATTTTAATGATACAACTCTACCATAAATCTAAATAAAGACAATCATTATAATGTGATGGTTACAATTCTCTCATAATGCTTCCTAAAGATAGTGGTGGTTACAACACATTAATTTTAATACTCCCCCTTAATGTGTTGCTCTTTAACTCCCATTACTTCTCTAAGTTGCTGAAATCTTCCTCTTGGTAGTGCTTTAGTAAAAATATCCGCAAGCTGCTCTTGTGAATTGCAGAACACTAACTGCACATCACCATCTTCGATCACACTTCGAATGAAGTGGTGCTTTATATTAATATGTCTTGTTCGACTGTGGAAAACTGGATTCTTCGCCATGGCTATTGCTGATTTATTGTCACAGTGAAGCAGCAGACTTTCTTCTTGCTTTTCTCCGATATCTTCAAGTATTCTTCTCAGCCACGATGATTGTTGTGTAGCCAAACCAGCTGGCAAATATTCTGCTTCAGCTGAAGATTGCGCTACAGTATCTTGTTTCTTCGAACACCAATAAATTACTCATGAACCCAGACTGAACACATAACCGGAAGTGCTTTTCATGTCATCAACACTTCCAGCCCAATCACTATCACAGTAGCCTTTAACTTCGAGTTTAAAATTCTTTTCAAACCTGATTCCATGTTCCATGGTTCCCATGACATACCTTAGAACTCTTTTTGCTGCTCCAAGGTGTAAGTGACTCGGTTTATTCATAAACCTTGAGAGTAAACTAGCAGCAAACATTAAATTGGGCCTTGAAGTTGTAAGATAAAACAAGCTTCCAACCAAACTTTTATACATACTTGTATCTACTAATCTTCCACCATCTTCCTTCTTTAATTTTTCATTCACCAATAAAGGAATATCAACAGGTTTGCAACCATTCATGCCAAACTTTTTCAAAATATTTTCAGCATATCTCTTTTGACAAATAAAAACTCCATATTCATCTTGGTAAACCTCAATACCAAAAAAATGATGCAGCAAGCCAAGATCACTCATCTCATATTTTTTCATCATTTCTATTTTAAAATTTTCAACCATTTTCTTGTTGTTACCGTATACACCAAATCATCAACATAAAGGGCAACAAGAAGGATATCATCTTTACCTTGATGCTTCACATACAAGGTATGCTCACTTTGACTTCTTTCAAATCCTTGTTGAATGAAGTAGCTGTCAATTTCACTATACCATGCTCTCGGGGCTTGTTACAACCCATAGAGAGCTTTCTTCAACTTGTAAACTTTTTCCTCTTGTCCTTTAGTCACAAAGCCTTGAGGTTGCTGCACATATACCTCTTCTTTTAATTCTCCATTCAGGAAAGCTGACTTCATATCAAGTTGGTACAGGTTCCACCCTTTCTGAGCTGCTAATGCAATAACTATTCGTACAGTATCCAATCTTGCAACTGGGGAAAAAGTTTCACTATAGTCAATTCCAGGTTGTTGTGCATAGCCTTTTACTACCAATCTAGCCTTGGCTTTTTGAATTGACCCATCTGGATTATGCTTCAATTTGTACACCCACTTTACTCCAATAGCTTCTTTGTCATTTGGCTTTTCAACTAACTGCCATGTTTTGTTTTTCTCAATGGCATTTATTTCTTCTTGCATCGCATTCCTCCAAGCATCTTCTTTGATTGCTTCATCAAAATTTTCTGGTTCCACAACACAATAGTTGCATCTTGCATAAATATCACTCAAGTACTTCAATTTTATTGGAGTTGAGCTGGGAGATGATGAAGTTGAAATTTGTTAACTTGGAGAGGATGAGGAACTTTGTGTACATAGAGCTGGTTGCTCATTATCAGTTGTTGGGTTTTGTTATTGTAATATGATTGCAGGGACTGCTTTCTCCTTCGTTTTGTCTTCTTCCCAATTCCAAGAAGCGTTCTCATCAAATACAACATCACGGCTAATGATCACCTTGTTTGTCTTCAAGTTGTAAAGTCTATAGCCCTTTGAAATGGAACTATAGCCAATAAAGACACATCTTTCACTTGTTTCTTCTAGCTTTGTCCTCTTTTGTTTAGGAATTTGAGCATAGCCAACACACCTAAAAATTTTAAGATGGTTCACCGACGGTGTTCTTCCACTCCAGGCTTCAAATGGAGTCTTTTTCCACACGGCCTTTGTTAGACACTTGTTCATCAAATACACAGCAGTGTTAATGGCCTCGGGCCAAAAGGTTTTAGGCAAACCTTTCTCAAGTAGCATAGACTTCGCCATCTCCATCACGGTTTGGTTCTTTCTTTCAGATACACCATTTTGCTGAGGTGTATATCCAATAGTGAGCTGTCTTTCAACACCTTCATCTTCACAAAATTTATGAAATTCATTTGAGGTGTACTCCTTCCCTCGATCACTTCTCAGTATCTTTATAAATCTGGCACTTTGTTTTTCGATTAATGCTTTAAATTTCTTAAAGATTACAAACGCTTCAGATTTTTGTCTCATGAAATATACCCAAGTCATGCGGGTAAAGTCGTCAATAAACAAGATAAAGTACCTATTTTTGCCATGAGACAAAGTATTCATAGGGCCACACACATCAGTGTGTACAAGTTCCAACACTTGTTTAGCTCTCCATGCACCTTCCTTTGGAAATGGTTGCCCGTGGTGTTTGCCAAGCACACAAACTTCGCACACACCAGATTTTTCTTCGATTCTTGGCAGCCCATACACCATCTTCTTTTGATAGAGTAACTTGAGGCTTTCGTAATTCAAATGCCCAAGTCTCATGTGCCATAAACACGAGTCATTATCTTCTCTGGCCATCATGCTTATATTTGTATCATAGTTAAAAGATAGTGGAAAGCTCATGTTGCTAGTCATCTTCACAACGGCAACACTTTTTCTTTGAGTCAAAAATTCTGCACTCGTTATTCTCAAAGTTTAGAGAATAGCCGTGCTCCAGAAGTTGTCCAATGTTAAGCAAATTTTCGTCTAATTTCGGTACATAGAGCGTGTCATGTATGACTTTGCTTCCTTGCTTTGTGGTGACTCCAATGCTTCCTTTCCCTTTCACTACGACATGTTCTCCATTGCCCAATTTAACTTTTGATCCAAATGAAGAATCAATGTTTATAAATGCTTCCTTTTGTCCGGTCATATGGTTGCTACATCCGCTGTCCAAATACCATACGTTTTTACCTTCTTCATGCAATGCTTTTTGACAAGCAAAAAATAAATTTCCTTCATCAGATTCTCCTTCTGCGTACGAAGCATGTTATTGATTTTCAAGACGACAATCCTTTTGAAGGTGCTCGAATCTCTTGCAATTGTGGCATTGCGGTTTACCTTTGTTCCAACAATCCTTCTCGTCATGAGTACCGCTGTTACAAATTTTGCACCATTTGTTTGATGCTCCATTCCATCTTCCGCCATTTGCGCTTCTTCCAGATCTGCCACGTGAGTTTCGACCTCTGCCTCTGCCTCTTCCAAATCTGCCACGTGAGTTTCGACATCTGCCTCTACCTCTTCCAAATCTACCACCTCTAGAAGACTCACCTCTAGTTTGTATTTGGGGCTTATTTTCACCATTATTGGGCTGAATGTTGAGTTTAGATTGAAAGGCACTCTCGATTGATTTTTTAGAATGTCGTAACATCCTTTGCTCGTAGGATCTCAAAGACCCCATCAAACCTTGAACAGTTAAGGTTGATAGATCCTTGGTTTCTTCTATTACCCCCACTATTGGGTCAAATCTTGCTGTCAAACTGATCAGAATTTTGTCAACAATTTTGCGATCTTCTATCGTATCACCATGTGACTTCATCTGATTCACCAACTCGGAGAGTCTGTTGAAGTATTCGCTCAGGCTCTCGTTCTCCTTCATCCTTTCATTTTCATAATCTCTCTTAAGAGATTGAAGCTTCACCGTTTGCACCTTTGAGTCTCCTTCGAACTCTTGTTATAGGATACTCCAGGCTTCTTTCGATGTTTTAGCTCTCATAATCCTTGGGAAGATGGATAGAGAGACCCCTCTTTGAATCATCCCGAGAACTCCAGCATCTGTGATCTTCTTCTTCTTCAATTCTTCAATCCGTTGGCTTGATTCTTCAGCCTTTTCTTTTGATTTTTCATCCTCTGTCACCGCCGGTTCTTCATAGCAGTTTTTGACATACTCTAGAACATCCAAAGATGTGAATAGAGTCTCCATTTTAACAGTCCAAAAATCATAGTTCTCGCCTTCAAATAGAGGAACTTTGACATTGTTGTAAGTTATGGAAGGGTTCTTTTTGGAAGCCATAACTGTTGTTATTTTTGCTGCAGCTGCAAGGATCTGCAGCTCTGATACCACTCTGTTAGCGGTATTCTAGAGGTGGTATGTGAAAAATTATAGTGTTGCAGGATTCTGCAGAGAAAACTACTTTTCGTCACTTTTTGTACTATACTTCTACTGGTGGATGACCATTGAAAAACTCTGCTTTTTTTTAATTCACCAAACACTTCTTACTCTTAATCTTAGCATTACAAAGCCTTTATATAGGCTTGAATGAAACTGATAGAGAATACAAATAGGTTGTTAATCAAGATGAGGACTCTTTGGT